GGTCAATTTAGGTCCATCGCTGGCCAGCTACAGGACACCAAGTGGCACTTCGTCGCCCACTGTGTCTAAAAACAGTGCTACTAAGAAACAACTGGTGCTCCGCACGCAGTTGCAGCAGACGCTCGCCGTTGTCAGTCCGTTCGAAGTTAAGCCCATAATTACCACCCAGCTGAGCTTCAGAAGAGCTCAGGCGCCTTACTTGTGAGTTCATATCTCATGCAAGTACTATATCTATATCAGTCTATACAACATTGCGTAGTACCGCGTTCAGTTCGTGATAGAATGTGTCCTTGACAGCATTAGAACTGCAGTCGGTGGGAGCATAAGTGGAAATCACAAACGGCGTTTTGTACTACTTCGTGAATCAACCTTAGCTGATTTCCTCAAACGGACTGCACATAAACGGCTGTTCACTGGAATCCTATCAACCAACGATGGCTCCGTCTTAAGCCGTTAGTGCTGCATCGGCGTCTCCAGATGCGTTCAACCAATAACAAGAGGATAAACCGGGTGCAGTTAATTCAACAACGCTGCGATTGCTATCACCGTCCTCAAGTTTCGATTGCACATTCACCTTGCGCTTATTTGAAGATGCGACAGTGACAGCATCTGGTTGCGCCGGCGCAGAAATCGCTCGTGCTGTGGCAGCGCTCATTGCCTGATTCCCGGTCAACAACCGTCTTTGTGCAGTTCTCTTCCAGCCACGAGACTAGTAGGCGCTGCTTATTCAAATATGTTCCAAAATATTGAGGACATCGCTGTGATTTGTTAGTGCTCCCAGGCCGCCCATCATGTGCTGCTTAGACTGGAGATGTCCGCCTCCCAATTTGGGTTGACCTTTGTCTCTTCCAAAATGTAAGGTCCTGTTACAGGACTAGCCAAGTGCATCTCCTCTCATCCTTTTGGGGCATAAGCTGGAAGTGGTAACAAATTCATCTACTTTGGGAGTTGTCTTAGTATAGACGGTTTGACGGATGAGATCTCCCCGCGTGACTCCAGGGCTACAGTAGTTTACGATAACCGTCATGTGTCTTTGTCGTGACTACAGCCTCGCTCTCAAGGGACGAGTCTACAATGCGGCTGTACGAGTGATTCTGCCGTCCCGCCGTGAGACTTGACTCGTTCGAAAATGTGATGTTCAGCGGCGATCTGTCCTCGATCACTGCTGCCTGCGAAACATTGCTGGTGTTCGATGGCAGCATCACATCGGTGAGTTCTTAACTCTGACAAACTTAGCCGACCGATTTACAGCATCAGTTCACTGGCTTGGGCATGTGCTCTGCATACCCACCCAGAGGCTATCACTGTGTGCCCATTTGCAAGCGAAGGCGTGCGATGGGAACGACGACAAGGAGGCCAGTGTAAAACCTGGATTCATTGTGTTAAGGCGCAAACGTCGAAGCTGGCTGTTGTTGGTCGTTCCTGACTCCCGGGTTGGAAACCAAAAGACCCCGAGCCCATTTGGTTGCAGGCGTTACTGCGCATATGGCGAGGGACCGTACGTAATGGCGCAATTGCTGTGAGACTCTTGTTCTCTGACGGTCGTTTTCCCTTTTATTCTTTTATGCGTTGTGGCACAGTCAATTCTAACGTTCATCATCATCATCATCAACAGCAGTAAATCAGCCATTTGAACTGATGCTTCGCTGCCATACAAACATGAGGACCTATGAAATAAAGAATAAGAAGAGGGAGAGAAGGAGGACTTACCTGAAAACCTTAATGCCCTAAGCAAACATTCAGGGTCAAGGTGCCTACACCTTGTGTAGACAACATTCCGTCACAAACAGCTGGCTATCGTGCAAAGATAAGGCGGCATCGGCGAGACAGCTTCCTTGCGGCTTTCACTGCGACGCGTCATAATCAGCCATTACCCCGCAGATAACTAAGCACCAAACACACTTTAAACAGGCGATCCGATTAGGAGACGGCAGCAGACGCGCCACTGGTGTCGATTGCGAGCCATGTCCTGTAAAGTCTCGAGCCAAGCACAAGGGGAGTCACGTGGACTCCAACCCGGAAGGCGAGACGGACCAACGGCACCCAGTTTGGTCGTCAGTGACTTCATTTCCCGCTGCCAAGTCAACTTCTGTCCACCTCGAGCCTTGCGCCATCCGACACCTGGTAGACTGAACAAGGCCCTCCTAGGTAAGCGGTGAACAGGCATGCGTAGCACGTGCCCGAGCCAACGCAACTTATTCAGTGCTATCTGTTGTTCTAGGGAGCTAGCATGATCATCACCATTTAGTACTCGCCTACGCACATCATCGTTGTGGACACGCTGGTGCCATCCGACACCAGCAATGCTTCGCAAACAACGATGATCAAAGATTTGAAGGCGCCTCAGATATTCAGACCGAAGGGGCCAAGTCCCACTACCATACAGCAGAACGGCCCTCACTGTGTCCTTGTATACACGGTTTTTCAAACGGAGGGAAACTCCCTTCTGTCGCCAAAGATGCCGCAGGTTCAAGAAGGCAGCTCTGGCCTTTGCAATGCGTGAGCTCACGTCAGTTTCTATGCGTTCATCATTGCTGATGCAGCTGCCAAGATAAGTGAATTGATCAACCACCTCGAGTTCTTTGTTAGCAAGCGTCAAGGGGTCATCGAGTGGCTGGTGGTCCTGCAGCAACACTTTGCACTTTGAAGGTGCGAAGTGCATACCAAATAATGGGACCACTCTGGATAGGCTATTCAGGGTTGATTGTGCCGCCCCAACATCGTCAAAAAGCAAGACGATATCGTCCGCATAATCTAGATCAACTAACCGTTCACCAGGCAGCACTTCAACACCTACATCGTGAGATTCCGCAAGGGAACACTCCATGATAGAATCCACGACGAAATTGAACAAAAATGGGGAAATCGGGCAACCCTGTCGAACGCCACTTGTAGTCGAAAAGCTATCCGATAGGGCACCATAGACCCTGACGCGGCCTCTAGTGTTCGAGTATAGAGCACGAAGGATGTTCACATATTTCGTGGGAACACCTTTCCGCGCAAGTATTTCGAACAGAATCGATCGATCGACTGAATCGAACGCACTCTTGAAATCGAGGAACACAGCTATTGTCGGTCTGCGGTATGCGTGGCGCTGCTCTAGCACCTGCCGCAAAGTAAATATATGGTCTATACAGCCACGTCCTGGGCGAAAACCGGCCTGCTCTTCTCTAATCCGAGATTCCCGTTCTGCAGTGAGGCGACGAACGATAATCGAGGCCAGTAATTTTGTCACAACTGGCGTTAGGCTAATACCCCTGTGGTTCGCACAGTCTGTGCGACTGCCCTTCTTGTATATTGCCACTATAATCGATTCGCTCCAATTAGCCGGCACACTCTCTTCGTTCCAGATACGTTCGAATAGGGAGGTCAGTGCTTTGCAGAGGACCTCACCTCCATCCTTAAATAGTGCAGGTGGTAGGGAATCCGGGCCAGCGGCACGAAAACGATTGAGGGCTGTGATCGCGTTTCGGACCTCGGCCTCCGACGGAGGCTCTAAACTAACCGTCCATGGCTCGTCCTGCATCACCTGAGTAGGAAGAGGTCCGGGAGCAGGGGGCCAGCTGAACTGATGTTCAAAGTGCTCAGCCCAACGAGCCATACGGCGCTCCTTATTGTGTATCAGCGCACACGCGCTGTTTCTGATGCTCTAATTGACGCCTGGTTTCCTGGAACCATTGGTGCAGATCAATTGGAAGAGCTTGCGGTAATTGCCTAATGCTCCCGCCTACTCCATTTCTTGTGCCCTACTGGTCCCCCATGCTTCCATTTTAGCACGTAGGCTCCGCTTTAGTTCACACCGAATAGCCCGTCTGATCACATTGTGCTTAGAGGCAGCCGGGAGGTTTCTTCTAGCTTCCAGCAGGTTCACCGACCTCACGGATATCTAGTGACTGGTGGGGTGACGATCGATAGTGCCACAAACTGATGCTCCTGTGTCGTGCATGGCGGTCGAGATCCTATTCTACTGAAGTTCAATGTCATTAGGACAGACAGCTAGAGTTCGGTATGCAGTGCTTCTTGATATGCTTGCCTGACAGAGGGCTGGGACAACTTCTCCGTTGCCAATCGGGGGAGACGCTTTGTGCGCCTTCCGGTAAAGTTCATGGAGAAACGACAGCGCACCAAGGCTTGGTCAGAGTCGACACAGGTACTCCAGTACGAGCGGCAATCCAGAATGGAACTGCGCCACCTGTAACTTATAGCTATGTGGTCAATTTGGGTCCATCGCTGGCCAGCTACAGGTGGACGCCAAGTGGCACTTCGGCGCCCACTGTGTCTAAAAGCAGTGCTACTTAAGAAGCTAGTTTTACTGCGCCAGTTAAGATGGCTCGATCAGGTCCTGCGTATGTCAGCTGAGCGTTTGCCCCATCACACTCTGTTCTCTCGTGCAGGACTCGACTGGAAGAGACCACTCGGTGGTCAACCATCCATCTGTCAGCAGCATATGAAATCAGTGACTTCATATCTTGCGGCCGTTTGATGATGCATATGCCAGCCTGGTTGGGTACCTAAGGACGATGGTTAGAAACAATGGCGCGCAGTCGAAACCGGTGGAAGATCTGTGTGCATACTCGTTTGGATTCAGATGTTACACGCCAAGTAATTAAAAAAGGCGTGTAAAAAATAACAGAAATATTTCGTTCTGCTCGTGGCACAGTAGGTGAAGCGTGTTGCTCACTTAAAGCTTATGTGCAATAAGAATGATGTTTCGGCGACTTTGTCCATTTTCCGCTGATTTCCATGGTTTTGTTAGGCTCCATTTCTATTTATTAGAATTAACGTACATATATATACGCTACAATGCCTAATGAATTGCTTTTGTTTGCCTCTGTTCAGAAAATAGGTGGCACTGATGTAAATGTCACTTGTTAGCTGGCACGTTACTTATCACGTACTTCGTTATTATTAACGAAAATTCCGAGCTGCGCCGCAGCTGTTGAGGCGCATGTGTACTTTCCGAAACACTGCATTCTTACTAACTTCCGGATCTATTCTAGGTTTACTCCTACCTCGTTCGGTCCAAATTCGTACGGGAAAGAAGCTTCGGCTTCATTGACCGTCGTGCTTTATTGAACAGACAAACAGAAGCCCTCAACGAACTTGTTACGGAGGACAATCGATGATCACGTCACGACCTTTTTACTCCCATTGAACTGATCACCCGTCCTTTTAGGTCTGCACATATATTCCCAAACCTCAAACTTTTGGTGATGACTAAGGCCATTCTGGTGATAAACTGTTTGTTTCATGCAAATATTAATTTATTTACATCAAATAGCTTATTTACATCTCGCTAATCCTGACCGTCCAAGTGTCTTATAGCGGCCAGATCTACCCTGCTCTTCACATGTTTCCGACAATGGCTCACGATAACTAGGAACACAGATGCCGAGACGCGGGCTTTCAACTCCACCATCTCGATGTCATGATGAGAGAGTACTTCGCCCCACCGTTGAACCTGTAAGGGGAAGCGAGATATATGATTAGCATATTGAAGAACAGAATACTTGTGCGCTTGGGTCGAATATTCAGAAAGACATCAGAAACGATAGTACTGGCGCGAAGCACTTGTAAACGCAGTAGAGCACAAGCGAATTACGAACGGTTCTTCGATGTGTTGGGTCAAAATGTAAAGATATGAGCCTGTGATTTTAGGATTCTAGCGATAAGCCTAAACGGCATGAGCGGCTTTCCGTTTTTTTGTTTCTGTCGTTAGTCTATTCATTCGACAATTATAATTCCCTTTTTCTGACCCCGTTATGTTCTTAATTTTTCACAGACCGTTTCCATTTTCGTTCACTGCCTTTAACAATTCTCTCTTTGGTCCGTCATGGAAACTGGATCTGCTGCGCTTTGACATCCGGGTCATAGCTGAGTAGCTAAAGTATAGTGAGTTGTAAGGCGACAGCAAAGGAATAAATGCAACAGAAGGGTAACCCACCTGGAACAGCTGTTCTAAAAGACTGAGTTCAACGGATTTCGATGCCGAGCAAAATCCATCGACAGCAGCCAGCGCAAGAAAGACTGATTTCAGGTTTTCAACACAGGACTGCAAGCCTAAAATCATGACAGAAAGGACGGCTTCATTTACAAAAATGTTCAAAAAACAGAATCCAATGGTTAGGATTAAAAAAATCTTCGCAAGTATGAGTGCTCGGAATCGGTCCATAGGCGAGAGGCATACCAGTGTAACGACGTAGATCACGGACAAGTTATATTTCCTGTGGCGGGCATACACAACAGCATTACGTCAGAAATTTGAAATGACGCCTCGCTAGGACACAGCCTTGACCGCATATGAAATGAGGAGTAATAAAAAAGAGAATCTAATGTAAAACCTAAGCGCCATATGAACATTCAAGAGGCAGGGAGCTCACGGCCTGCCAGCAACATGGTCAAAAATAGCTGATTAGCGCGCGGAGATAAAGCGGTGTTGGCGAGATAGCTTCTTTGCATCAGAAATAGCCTTAACCAGCAGATCACTCAGAATCAGATATGTTTTAACCAGCAACAAACGCGCCACCGGTGCTAACTGTAAGTCATATCCCGCAGAATCTTGAGTCACACGCAAGAGGGGACGCGTAGACTCCAGCCCAGGAGATGAAGTGGACCAACAGCACCTAACCTGCATGCGCCCGATAGGTGCGCATGGCATCAAAGCGTTGGTACAAAGTACCAATGTACTGACGATGCATGCAATCTTAATGCTCCGTAGACCACCGGTTTCCTCCGTAGGCGAACATCTACCTGTCGCAAGTCACTAGAGAAAACTCAGTTCAGCAAATTGTATTGCGTCACACTAGTCGTCGTTTCTTTCGTCTCACTGAGGCTGTCACAATAAACCGGATGAAGCCATCCCTGTGCATTCAAAGACAGCTATTTGTCAAACTTTGGCTATCATGGACAAAGAGGCGAATTTCTGTCATGGCGAGATCCTGTCAGATCGTCGACCCGATCGCACGAATCCTGTTCAACCGCCACGTCACTCAGGTTTTTGAGCCGCAGGTGGCGGAAGTACAATGCAGATTCCGTTCGGGCCGCAGCACCATAGATATGGTGTTCGAGCTCGTCAGTTGCAAGAGAAATGCAGAGAGCGACACCAGCCATTGTACTCGCTGTCTGTTGACTACACGGTGGCACTGTGTTGGGTAATTTTGGTTGTCTGAGTAAATCTGTATGCGGGCGAGAGTTCAGCTGAGTGGACAAGCCTCGGATGGCTTTGCTGTTGTCTCTCGTGTGAAGTAAGGTTGTGTCTTAGCTCTTGCTCTTCATGTAATGATGTTTTGTGCTTTTGATTACGGTGTGTGTGGGTTGCTGAGCCTCCATCGTTTCGGGGCGAGAAGTCGAGTGTGTGAGACAACTATCCGTATGTCACTGTTTACCGACGACTATGCGTTGTTTGCGCACAGCCCGGATGAGTTGCAGCACATGACTTCGGCTCTCGCTTCGACAACGGCCAGATTCGGGTTCACCATCAACACAAGCAAGACTTCTTTCCTGCCTTCTCCAGAAGTGGAATCCGTGAGGCTGCCGCAAATCCACAGTAGCAACGACGTTTTGGATTCCACTTCGAGGTTTTTCTAGCTAGTCAGCGTTATGTCTACCGACCTGCAGATGACGAGTGGACGGTACATGCGCGTATGGAAGGCGGCTGTCGCATTTGGCAAACTGGAATGTCGTGTGGGGAACAACCACCAACTCACTGTCGGGACGAAGCTGCTGGTATACAAGTCTATGCTGCTGTCCGTTCATATATACGGAAGCGAAACCTAGACGATTTATCGGAAGGATGTCTGTTATCTGGAGCGCTTCCATCAACAGTGTCTGCTTCGTATTATGCGCACCGGCTGGGGTGACCGAGTCGCAAACACAGAGGTGCTCCGACGCAGTGGCATGTATGCAGTGGACTGCATAATTCTGCCGAGGCACCTGTGGTGGCTCGGGCATGTTCGCCGCATGGATTCGACCCGGATACCGAAACAGCTGCTTTATGGCCAACTGCGTGCAGGGAAGCGGCACATGGGAAAGCCGAAGGTACGTTACCAGGACACGATCAAAGTGAGTTTATCACGAATTACTGTTGATTTCAGGTGTTGTCAGGCGATGGCAGTGGCCAGAGCATATCAAGAGGGCGGTTGCCCAGCTGCACGAGAAGACACTCCTGCATGTGGAAAAGAAACATCGATTGAGGAAACGACAGGCGCCGAGCACATTGTGCTGTGACATATTCGGTCGCCAGTGCCTGAGCCAAGCTGGCTTAGTAGTAAGCCACCGGCGTCGCCACGTTGGGCCAATATCTAAGAGAAGACGAGTATGCTAAATGTGTAGTTATCATCAGCGCGGCGCTTGGTAAGTTCGCTGCTTCTGGTAAAATTTATTAACCTAGGCCGATAAGGCGGTTGATGTGGTACGTGTACCGCATCGTCGTTGCAGTTGACCTGTACATTGTGCCTGCGTGTTGAGATTCTTGCATTTTAGGGGGTAATTGTTGATTGATATCCCAGACGTGGCTGCGCTTGATGTGAATGTTGACAAAGTGCCTACCTGTCTATTACCCACCGTCTCGTCTATACTGGCTCCAGGAGACAGTTGGTTGTTGCTAGAGAGGACGGAGTGAACGGTCCTCGTGAATAGGCTAGGCTCACAGAGTGGTTTCACCAAGTGTGGAGCGGACTACGGCCAAACCACCACCTTGTGTACGTATGGTACGCATGATTCCCAAATTAGGTGTAAATGTTTCTGCTGTGTTTGTTGAAGGAGTGTGGTTCGGCTTCGTTGATGAAACGTAGCTCCCATGCTTCCCTGTGTTATTTCTCCGGGTTTACACTGAATATGGGGGTGTGTGGATGAAGCCGGCCAGTAGACTAAAGGAAACAAGCTTGTCTTGTAATCTGACAAAGCGAGTTAGTCTGCGTAGGGCGACGCTCGCAGTATCCTTAGCCCACGCTGGACCGGTGGTGGTTGCGCGACAGCGAAGCGTCGATACTGTGTACCGGCGTCCTGCTGATATTGTTGCTGTGGGTGGTGCAGCGCAAGGCATCCATGGTCTGTCTGTAGGCGCAGGTGTCCTGTGGCTGTCCTATGGAGGCCGCAAAGGAAACTTTATGAAATACATGTGCCTACTCGTTTTTCGAATTGTTGAAGGGGACTAGGTGCTTTTAAAGGGAAATATGGGCGAGAAAGTTGGCGCTCTCGGCGCGATACCTCACCGACTCTAGGTACAAACGTAACACCCCAAGCATCGCGCTTTTATAAGACAAAATAGAATGAGAATCATCACGAGACTCACCGACCAACCCCCAAGGATTATAACTAAGGAAGTGTCGAGTCAGAACGTCCCGATCCCTCGGAGACATGACAGTGGAACCGACAAGGCTCTTAGTTATCATTGGTGTGATGGAATAACGCTCGACCACGTATTGCAAGACTGGGTCCCAAGAAGAACGCTGCATGGTGACAAGGTCGTCCGGTTCATCACATCGGAAGCTGAAGGTAAACAACGGGAGTGCATGAGATGGGCTATTCAAAGCAGCCTCACAATGGGACAGTGTAATGATGAACAGTGCGCTGGTATTCGATAGACATCGTCGTCAATCATGTCGTTACTTCGTACCGACGCTTCGCTGCTATACAAACGCAAAGTAAGAGGGACAACACTTGGTGAGGGGCAGTGAAAGGGAATCTGACAGCACTGAGCAGACGCAGAAACCGCGCGTTTATGTCAAGTGCAGCTACCTATCGTATGAAAATATAACGACATCTGTGAGATGGCTTTCTTTCGGTTTACACTGCCCTGCATAACCACCAGCCCTACTGCACAGCTATGAGCCGGCAGCAAGCATACTGCCAATGCCGGTTACATGTCAGGTGAATCGCATGCAACTCAAGCTGAAAGCCGAGGTGAACCGATGTCACCAATGAATTCATTTTCGGCTGCCAAGTCAACGACTATATCTTTTCTCAATTCCTTGCATCGGTCCCCCAAATGTTTGCATCGGTCACGCTTGAAGCTGCATCGCGTGTGTCATGTGCACTTGTATGAGCCATATTCATGAACTGTGTTCGCGACGTGAGATCACGTGATCGCCTTGCCACCGATTGCACTGGTACGGTGACTAACCTAGCGGTGAAGTCAACTCCATAGGCACGCTAGGTTTAGTGAAATCGTGCAGTTAGTGCAACAGTTTGCTCTGCTCCGAATGTCACAAAAAGGCACTCGTACTCGGCGGAGGTGAAGAATATAGTACTTAAGACTTATGAAGAGGGACGCGACTGGAAGTATGTTGCACACATACTGAACGTAAACGTGAGTACCTGCCGCACGAACCTTAGACGTAAGGTTCCGCAGGCGCGTGGTCAGCCTTCATGGCAATGCGTTTACATTCCGCATTTTGTAATGACATACCACTTGTTGAAAGACATTTAGGTTTCTCACCACTAGCGCCACTACAGTTGCCGTCTTGACTCTTTTGAACTATAAGGATACCCTATGGTTGTCACGCAACGTCACACCGGAAACGCGCAAACTGCGTGCCCCAACATTTAGTCTGAATGTCGAACCTATGAACTAGCGATACATAAAAGTGATGACACCTTTTCAAATCATATACATTTGTCAGCAAAGAAAATTTTACAAATCCATGCAATGCACAGCACGAGCGTAATTCCTTCTTACACAATCGATCATTTGTTGGCAGTGCTGGGGCGTAACGCAGGCTTGTGCCTCGGATACAATTCACTCCAAGAAGCGCATTCTCTACTCGCTCTTACATAGTACACCCTCAGGATCTCCCTGAAGCATCTCGGAATATTTCCTCCTCATGGCTTGCTTTACAAACGCTTTTATTATGCTCCAGTTTCCCTCGTTGGGTTCAGGGATGGAGAATATGGCGCAAGACGTAGGAGGCTGTCCGAACGGTACGGTTCCTCCTGGAATACGCGTTCCAACTTCGTGTGGCATGGCGCGTTATCACATATCAGGAGGCAGTTTTCGATAGAGGTCGAGCCTCTGGCATCCAGCAGTCGATGCAACGACGCCGCGCACCTTTCCTTATTGAAGCTTACTTTCATGATGGTATAGTCTATTAATCCATTGCTCATCAACGCTCAAATCAGATGCAGGCTTTGGCTTCGACTGTTGGGCACTGTACATTGCGCAAGAGTCCCACGCGGTGAACGTCCCATGGTACGAGAACAAAAGTGACTAAAATTGGTTTCATCTATCCACACGACTTGGCTCCCTTTGGCCCCAGATTGTAGCAGTGGCGAAACTCAGGCTTTTCTCAGCATTTTATTCTCATGTGTGTTGGCTGATTCCGGCACTGCTCGCAACTTCTTCATGGTAATTAGCCGTCCATCCAAGTATCGTGCAATTGTGCGCACGTTTACCTCAATGTTCAACTCCGCTTACAACCGCAGACGGTGTTTGTAGAGTGACCGTGGGTTCTTTCGACACCCATTCTACCAGGCAATCAATCTGGCTGTCTGTCAGACCTTCGGCGTCCCCCAACACACTTTTCTGTTTGTTCGGTTAGTTCCAACCTTTTTATCCAACTGCAACAGGTAGACAGGTTTACGTTCAGGGTGTGTAACATGCTTCCAATCGCGTCCCTCTACATAAGTATAATATTCTTCACCCCCACCGAGTGCCGCGTACGAGTGGCTTTTTGTGACATTCGGAGCAGAGTAAACTATTGCACTAACTGCACGATTCCACTCAGTTTAGTGTGCCTATGAAGTTAACCGCTAGGTCAACGGTTGCAAGGCGATCACGTGATCTCACGTCGCGAACACAGTTCATGAGTATGGCTCATACGAGTGCATATGTGCAACGTGTCACATGACGTACGCGATGCAGCTTCAAGCGTGACCAATGCAAACATTTGGGGGAACGATGCAACGAATTGAGAGAAGGTATAAACAAAAGCGACGTCTGCCTCAGTAAGAAGTAGGCGGGAACGCGTATCAAGAGCTTAAGGTAATCGATTAAGGCTAGTTCACCGAACAAAGGAGTTAGCCCGATCATCACCGCCTAGGGCTCAACTGCAAGGATCATAATCACGGACACGGTGTTGCTAACCAACGATGCTTCTAAGGCAGCAGTGGTCAAAGGACTGAAGTTAATTAAGGTCATTAAATTAGAGGAGCGAGATTCCAACCTACCGAGGTTATGGTCTGTAAAACCAAGAAGAAATCTTAGCTGCGCCAAACATTGTGCAGCTTCATGATGGTAGTTCTAGCTTCGCCATACATGAGCTCCAGAACTCACGTAACCGTCGCAGATGACAAGGTACGTGAATTGGCCAACTAATTTTAATTCATCGTTGTCAGTCGTCAATAGGCTACCAGATAACCTCGAGCTTTGAAGATGCGAAGCCAATATCCAAGATCCGATAGTTTGCCCAAGACTAGCTCTACTGTTTCAAAAACATGTCAGCGTAACTCGAATAAACTATTTCCCCTGTTCAGTATTGAAAAAGCCTACAAGAGAACAGTGATGGGCCAAGATAAAATTGAACCGAAATAAGTAAACAAGGATCTTGGAGCATGAACCCTGTTGTTAAAATGCATCCGACAGCGTGAATTTTGGATTGACTCGGCTTGTTCCAATATGTGGTACGTGCAATATCCATGAGACAGACAAACATCAGCAGTACGCGACCATCACCAGTGGCGCGCGGGCTAAGGAGACCGTGAGGTCGTCCGCACACCCGCAGATTCGAATCGATGACTTTCGAGTTAATGAGCATCCTTCGGTCACCGGACGGCTGGTGAAAACATCTTGCCAGGCAAATACACCAAGCAAAACAGAGCGGTTGGTTGGAGTGAAAACGATCCAGAAATAGAGGAGTACAGCACCAGTTAGCTTGTATACGTGATGCTACCGCAGAATATGGAGTATAGAGAGAGCGCAATAGACAACTCCGTTCCAGACGAAAATTTTCACGACTTGTCTATGAGTTCCTCATTTCACAGGAAAAAGGCAGAGCAGTAGGGGGGGGGCGGTGGTCATCGTTACCGGTGTCAAGATGATGGCACCTGTGGTTAGCACAGGTATTACGACTGTTCACACTTGAGTGTCTCCGTTATGATCAGTTCGCCTGTCTAAACAGGCTGGTTGTTTTGACATATGGGACTAAGCTTGAGACCGACACAAGGCGTATACAAAACCGATTTGTATTATAAACTTCTGAAATCAGGCTGGTTATTTCTTTGCCCGGGAACTCATCGTCATCCATGGTTAGCACATCTACAGCTGGATCTGAACCGGCAACGCGCAAACGGTTGAATATGATACAATATTTCGAAATCCAAACTTGTATGGAGCATCTAGGCCAACTGGTCACGGTTCACTCAGCGCCCTACAAATGCGGTGCGGCTCAGAAACAGGACACAAACGGAACTGACTTTGAGTGTTTCGGCTATCCGGATAAATTACGTTTCTCATAGTGAATGATGGTGCAAGCGTTGTCTCTGCTTGTCAATGGTTTGGATTGCTTAGAAGGAAATGCCTTCGTTGGGATGGGAGGGAACCACATCGAAACCATCCACTTCGGTGACGGTCCCAGTGATCGTATTGGCAGAAGCTGACTTCAAAGTCAACCAACGTCACAACTGAGATTGCATGTCGCAATCCAAGACACAAGGCGGGTGCTCCAAAACCCGAAAATCAAATGCCGTCGTTATTCGCGCACCGGCCTCCACTACTCGCAGGCTCCGTTTTAGTTCGCGCCCGATATCTCGTCTGGTCAAGTTGTGTTCGGAGCAAGAAGATTCCTCTTTTGGGTTTCAATGAGCCCACCAACTTTCCGTATATCCAGTGTCCAACGCTCTAGAAGTGAAATCCAAACATGCCCTTCGGTTGGGATTCGCAGCAACCTACATGGTCCACTAGCGCATTCGTACCTCAAGCAAATAGGAGGATATCTGAGTTGGTGTCACCGACTTGTCCGAGAAGTCAACTTCAGTAGCATCCGGACAGCACGTGAGGCGCTGGTCCGTGTGATCACCTCAGCCAGTATTGTAAAATGGGTTGCATATATAGGGACTTTTACAGAAATTCAACCAACGAAATGATTCAAACCCGGGGCTAAGGATGGTGATCTTACTAGCACTACCAAACCAATAGCGACAGAATAGGCCGAGCGCAGTTAGTCCGATAGCCACACGAGGCTCGTGCGCATTCGCATGCAGCCTGGTGACCTGTCCGCTTTATGAAGTGAGCGCCGTGAAGCAGGTCGGCAGCCCGGCTTCATAAGCGTTTTGTAATGACACGAAGCAATTAGATTTTGAAGTGAAATAAATGCAGGACAAAACCTCACCAGTATCGTAGCTGCCATTCTTTACAGAAGCGGTGGGTATCTCGGGGTTTTACAAGAGGATTGGATGAGAAAGAGAGCATCCGTATTTGTCTATTCATCAGTGTGTACAGGAAAGGCGATAACCCTTTTGAAACTTCGCAGTGACTGATGCAACCCTATGGGTTGTTACCAGGGTGCATACTCCAAATGAGAAAGTATTTAGCGTACTCGATAAAAGCGCTTGGTGCAAGAGCCTAACACCGTAAGGTAGCGGGAACACGGTATCGATCCAAAAGTGTAATGCTACCTAATATCCAATTTACAAATGCAGTGCTATGAGAATGGGCTTGTTTCGCACTTATCTGCCGATAAATCCTGTAAGTTCTACCTAAATGTGGAAGATCACAGCCCGGTGGATCGGTGACGTAAGCAAACCTCTTACCACGTTGAAGTCAGAGAGATAACCGCGCGCACCGATGAGGCCCGTCTAACTTCACTTTGTTTAGTGTTACTGTGAAGATCGAAGATGCAGCGAATGCGTGTTAAGGCAATCAGAAACCGATTCAGTTTGACCAACAGTAGTTGCGAAATATTGCCTATACCAAGCTTGAACACTGGATAAGCAATGTTATAGTTCACCAATTGGTTTTTGACACGAACCTTACTAGTGCGGCAATGAGCAGTTTGCTATGCATACCACTTACGCTAGTTAAGTCACATCGCGTGCCGCCAATCTGCTTCACAAAGAAACAGATTGAAAAGATTGCTCAAGGTGATGCCGTCTCCTGAGTTAGGGCTTCGATAGCATCCTTCGTATTTTGTAGTTAACCGTTGCGTTCGACAAGCTTTTTTCCTGTACCTTTATAATTTTGTTGGAGCTCGACTGAGTTTATCCCCTTTTATTTTTCCCACTTCTTCACGGAGGATCGAGTAGCGAAAATGCATCGGTCGCACCCAGTTCTGAGGTCAACAGCTGGCCAACTGAACCGAACGTGATCTATTTGGGTCCGGCTGTGTGGTGGGCGCCAGGAGACGCGGTGTGAACGTTTGTGCTGAAAGACAATGTAGTGGGTGAATAGTACAAAAACCGGTTGCTATTATCCGGAACAAAAGGGATCAAACCGGTAAGTGCCTTCAAAGAATTACTCGGAGTTGGATGGATGATCCATTTATAGCCACAGCACTACAACGCACAAAGATAATAGCAACGAACCAGATTGTGTCGGTGTCAGCGAACTGCATAATTCCTTGAACCACTGCGGCGGGATCCGCGAGCTCTTGCCAATCCAGTACCCGATTGCATAGGGTCGTCTAAAATATGGGTAACAGTGAAATCGCTTGCCTGAGCTATTTTAAAGCGAAAACAACCAGAGAATAAATGACGAACAAAAATCGTTAAGTATGTCACATGCTTTGTGCGTTCAATCCAATAACCCCGTCCTACTTTTATCGAACGCACGGTCACTTCATCCAAAAGATTCGGCAAACGATTTATGAGTGCTTGTTGCTAGTAAACACCGCCTCATGATAAACGACAGCTGAGAATCGTCATACGCAAATGACGTTGCGGTTGGACGGCGAGAAGATGCGTTCCACAGAGTTCAAGAATGCCGTGGCATGTCCTGAGCGCAGTCAAAGGAGGATCGTTTTGCTCAGAGGACTCGGATTTTTAGAGGAAGGGACACAGCCAAACAGATCATCTCTTGATAAAAATGAAAACGCTGCTCCCGTCAAATAAGAAAAACGATGTAAATCTGAGTAAGGATCTCTCTTGAACAGCGTCGTATGAGGGTATACTAAAGTGGTTAAAAGTAGCTATGTCGTTAAGCCAATCTATACCCAGTTGAATACGGAGGCGACTGCGATGAGGATGCACACGATGAACCAAATCGGCTGAGCTGCGATAGCACATTGCGAATGTGTGCACATAACTGGACTGATAGCAGAAGCAAGTAGAGAAATTGCTTTCTGCGATCAGAAAGAGCGAACACTCGCTTGTAACACACAAACTGTTAACAATGACGAGAAAGAAAAGTTGCCAAAAGCGAAACCTAAAATTAATGTTTTGTAGAATATAATTGAAGGGACCATGACTGACGTAATTTTCGTAACAACTCTAAAGTGACAAATTTTACGTTAGACAAAAGGATAAGGGACGACTGACAGACCGTAGTTCCTAGTGTGGTCATAAATTCTTTGCGTCAGACAATTGAATATGTGGGTGAGTACTTTGGGCTATGTTGTACTAACCGACATGAGCGGACACGCTTACGTAGGAGCATAGCAAGCCATACTTGACTGCACTGCATCATCAAATGAAGGCGAGCGTTCAAAGCATCGGCGATTAGAGACTAGCATGAAAGGGGCATTGTTATTGATCTGATCGAAAAGCTGAATATTTGTTCGCAGGCGTCCCGTCAACAGTCGAGGGGACATCACCAGTGTAGTAGAGTTGGTGGTTTGGTTGCCGAAGTCGGTAGCAAGTAAATCAGGTGCTGGGCGTCGCCGATTACTACTTCGATCTTTATACGGGCTTCTGGTTAAGCATACTGTCGTCATCCTGTTTGTTCCATTGTGTAGAGATGCCGATGCCTAGTGCCTCATGAGTGGTGGACGCTCTAAGTGCGACCGAGCTGGGGTGCATGAACAACGTCTTGATTCGATGGATTTATTAAACTAGACAGTGGACACATGTAAGGAGAACTCGGTTGATTTCACTCTCGTCACTCTCCCCGTTTCCTTCTAAGGAAACGGGGAAAATGAAAATGAAAATCCAACTAAGACGAGGTCTCGAAGAACACAAAAGTTAGAAGCAACGGATTTAAAGTAAAAATGCCAGTGTCTGGGGGTCCATGGTGTTGTAACCCAAGCATAAGATTTGCAATCGCAGCATCCGAGATCCGAGTCCCCACACCAGTGCGGGTTTTAGTGCCTTAACAGTAATTCAGGCCACCGGAAACCACTTGCAGTTCCATGGTAGCGAACAATGAACAATGATATATTACAGGTAAAAAAGCGATTGCCTTACAAGTCCCATAGAATGGTTGAAGTGAAAGTAAACATAAGCGTAAATCGTCAATTTAAGCGTCTTGTGAATTCAAGTGCCCCTTATTCATATAAACGTTGTAGAATGTGTACTGAATTGTTACCGTAGAGTAATATGGGAAGTAATATGCGGAAGGCATATCTTAAGAACAAGAGAAACGACAACGCTTACTCGTGCGCCGCTTTCTTGGACTGAGGTAATTGATGAATGCAGTTGTAATATATCCGAAGCTATATTCCACAACAGCAGTATGTAAATAGTGAAGCACAAAAGCTGAGAATGAGCACCGTTTTTTTCGCGTTTGTTTCACATGGACATCTCTGAGTATATAGCGGAATGTAGGTGGATAAGCGAATCATCCAGACGTCTTTTGAGTACCGTTAGCGTGGGGGAAGAAACAACCGATGTGGGAAGAGCGTTCCAGTGTTCGTATACACGAAGGGAAAAGAAATTCCGGCGGCATTCCAACCGGCTGTATGGTGTGTCCAGCTTTAGATGGTGTCCTCTGAGTGTGGTATTGCGATTCAGCTTTACTCGGTGAAGACAAGAATGGTTTGGTTTCCTCAGTATCATATAAGTCATTATCAAGTCGCCACGCATGCCTCGATATTGTCCACTGTGTAGGGTTTTCAGCCTCAATCGGTAAGGGAGATGAAACAGGCCCTTTACGTTCTTGGTCGCCCTTCGTTGTGGCAGTTCAAGAGCGGTAAGGTTTTGCTTTTGCCATGGCTGCCAGGCGTGGATGGCGTACTCAGAATGAGGCCGAATGTAGGCGTTGAGCATCTGAGAAAAGATGGAAGGATCGAAGCGCCTGAATGCCCTCTGCAAAAGACCAAGGTTTTGGTTAGCTTTTTTGGAGGCTTTCTCGGTCTGACGGGAACTGCCCAGATCTTCCTGCACTACCACTCCTAGATCGCATTCCGTTGTAGTGCGCTACAATATTTGATCCCTCAGTCTGTACTCGCAAGTGGCTTTATGGCGTATGCTCAACACCTTGCACTTTGTAGCGTTTAACTGAAGCAGGTTCTGAGTCGACCATTCGTAGATCCTGTCAAGATCATCCTGAAGTGCTGCATTGTCGCTGGTTGTTCTAATGGCTCGCCATATCTTAAGAGCATCAGCGAAGAGTAAGGAGTTTGAGGTGATTACTGTCACGAGATCGTTTATGTAAATCAGGAAGAGTCGTGGACCAAGTACTGAGCCCTGGGGCACTCCGCATTTAACGTCGATTGGGTCAGAGATGACGCCGTGAACTCTAACATTCAGATGTCGTTGAACCAAGAAGTTACCTATCCAACCGAGGATTGGGTCAGTGCGAGGCCGTTGCCTTTTCATTGAACATCAATTTTACTTTATATACTGCGAATATATAAGTCCTGAAAGAATATATTGACATCGTTTTTGTCCGAAGTACTTTTATGGTCACCAAGACCGTCTAACCCTTTCCATTTTGATTATTAAATTGAGATACCGCGATTTGTTGCTTTTAGCCACGTAATTTTAGTCCAGTTAAAATCATTTCTGAAAAATATCTTCATAAAGCTTTACTCTCTCCGATGAAAATGACCCGAAGATTGTGATTATCAGTTTGCTCTTGGTGCCCAAGAATGTGAATCTTTTTACTCAAGCGACATCAGAGCATTGTTCCTTTTAGCTCAGCCATTTGTAAAATTTTGTAATTTTAATGTCATTTTGCTTCATTCGTAGTTACTACTGTAAATTGCTGAAAATGCACCCATCAGGGTACATCAAGCTTACCTTGACTTGAAGTATTAAGGTACTGCCAATATCGTCTTATCTTCTCTATATCGGCTACGGATATCCAGGGATTTTTCATTTTGAATGCGAGCAGCCTTGTTCTAGTTCACATGTGGAACTCCATAAGAGAACAATATGGGTCACAGATCTAATTGGTACTTAATTGCCCCTAGTCCAGCCCACTTAAAGTGTGATATACCAGGCAGCACAGTACAACGCGCCCACTCGCTGTAACTTGCGTCGACACGATGAGGGAAAGTGGAACCGATAAAAAAGAAGACACAAACAACGGTAAGTAAATAAACGAGCTTGTGTATATTTTGGCAGACGGTATACGATCATTATGTGGGAAAATGATTAAGTTCAGAAGAGTAGCGTAGGATTGGAAACAACCGAAGGCAGCAGTACATCTAACTTTTCCATTGCATAGCCTAAATGGGGGTTTACAGTTACCGGCGTGGTCGATCCTGATCGCACTGTACAGAAGAATGTGAGATACTCGCGCAAACCAGTTCGTACGTCGGTTACGTGGGTTGCAGCCTTGTCACCAACTGACAATCGATGGGTGCACTCAGCCACGATTAGCAGAAAATGCCATATTACGTAGCCAGTATGCACGCAGATAACGTGAGCTGTTTGACCTAAGTAGCTGTGGAATTGTACAAAAAGGTGGACATCCACATGTATGCGTTGTGCGCTGTTCTGATATGCGAAGTGATCGATGTATGACGCATTGTCTTTTAAGTAAGTCGGCCGGTCACTTGCATGGAAAATGACCGATAGCCCAATAAGTCCGTGAGGTATGCAGGTTTATGGAGAAAATCAAGCGCTTTCCAAAAATAAACAGCCTCAGTTTGCTCAAGTATGGTGATGGGAAAATAACAAAAATCAGGCGGATACAGATGGATAGAAAACGCGCCTCGCTATCACCGCGCAAACTACCCAAATGTGCATATCCCTGCATCAACGAAATAAGTAGGTCAAATTTTCATAACCACTAAGGATAAAAAAGCGATTTTAAGCACCTAGAATGACGGCTCGGGTGTCGCGCTTCTCTGTTTGCTTCAAGACATCGGCACACAAAAGCAACAACACGCGATCCACCGAGGCGACTAAGAATGATGGATGTTCCTACCTTCAAAAAACAGACAAATGGTTTAGAATTCCGCTGAATGAAAACCTAAGAGTCAGAATACTCAAGTCCACAAAGACCACAGCAACCAATTGGCAAGTCATTCTTGTGGGAATGAGAATGGCCACTTGCCATTTACATGTTTGTTTAGGAATCGTGACCATTAGTACCAGCTGTTCCAACACGTCTTCCCCATACATGTTTATTTGCCGAAGAAAGGAACACGCCATTACATGACGATGCTCAACTAATGTTTCCGTCAAGCAGAGAGCCAAACCCAGGTAGTATTTCGCGGGTGTCTGGTGCACACACTTCAACATATGACATGCGTACGAATGACCTATTATTACGAGCGAAACGCCTGTAAATGGTGGTAATATTCCGTGATCAGCGGTACATCCACAACTACCTGGAGTTGTGATTACAAAGTGACATCGAGATTTGCTCCAATACAGTGTGCCGGACTTGAAACAATCTTCGTTCCTAACAATATGGTCACCATCTTAATTCGGCACTTGTGTTTAAGCGTAATGTTACGTGGGCTCACTGTAGTCGCGCGATTGTCCATGAGTAGTGGCATAAGATTTCGCAAATGTCCACCATCGGTCAACACAAAAAGATATCACCTAGTAACTTTCGTTTTCGACCGTACTTCTCGAACCAGCAGGGAGCAGGTATTAAGTAAACACAGGCTAAAGTGTAATACTAGTAGAGTTAGGTGTGAACTCAGGATGAACTGAGGTGAAGACGTATGAAAAGCATCTACTGGGGGGACTTACAAAGTGCATAGTGTGTCCTTTGATATGATCCTTTTGACTATCCCATTCTTGGGCAACTGCATGAGCCAATATTTCATTCGGCACTAAGAATGGTTGTCCGCCAGGAGTTCGAAGTTTCCGCTGATCGAGCAGCACTTCGTAATGCATGTCACTCTGTCCTATGATAAGATGAAAGGAAAACGAATTCATGCTTCTGTGTGACCAGATGGGTATTGATAGGCAAATTTCCAACCACTCATTCGCTAGGTTTATGAGTCGGGAAAATGGGTAAGTGACCAAAAAAGCATTATCTGATGCACAGAGATCTACCGTTAGCATGTTATCCACACCTAGACAGATGCAATGGCTGACCAGTGGAAAAAAATCAGTTCTTTAAACTCAATATACAGAGATATTGTCAGCATTTTGGCCGTTTAATGATGCGAAAAAGAAATGACGCTTAGCTAAGATCGGTTGACTGCTACAGCAGTGGTGGACACTATTGCTTCATTGGTCCAAATAAAAAAGTGGCGACACGTCTTTCTGCCACGCACGGCGCCGACTGTCCAAGCTGCTGTCTTATACGTTGACATCGGAAATCCGAAGTCAGTGAACCTACTGGGTTCTTAAGGTGAATATCTGTAGGCACAAAGCACCAGTTGACTGGATGAACTGATAAAGAAGTCAGGTGGACACAGAGTTCAGAAACTGGAGGAGGTAAGGGCAGCCGATAACTTCTGCAAACCTTTCCAACCAATTCGCATCAATGGTGGCAGTGGCTGGCCAATTAGGCGAATGAGCTATAACAACCCCAAACTTGGCTCAAGCTGACTTCGCACTGTGGGATGGCTGCTGAAAAAAACGCAAAAATAAGATACTGATTCACATTTGTCCATGTACACCAGATTTTGATGGCGGCCCAACTTGGTTTCGGATTCTTGGAGGCAAAATGGACGTGGTGATAAAGGTACGGACATGCCAGGATTCGCACACATTTGATGAAAAACCGACGATACTGTTGACAACTGCTCTGTAGGTGATGAATAACATTGCCGGAAAGATAGAGGAAGTGGAAACTGGACTTCGCGAACTAATGCAGTCGGATGTCTAAGATGTCATACCAGCTGACCATGGTTAAGTACACCATCGATGTTGAAGTGATACGAATAATAGAGGCCAGAATCCCAGTAACCATAATCGAAAACAGGATCTTCCAAAAATAATAAAGATCCGGCGGATGTTATGAAAGTCGATCAAACCCTGGCTCGTTGCTGCCGATCGGTCAATAATCGTTCGGCGGACAGTGAAAATCGGCGGAGGTTATATCCTCAATGCACGTCAACCGAGGGTGAAAACATATCAGCAAACGCGCCGCAATACAAAGAAGGAGATTAAACATTGCGGACTACAAAAATAAAGTAACATAATGCTCATTCATTCATTATACACGTCAGCTAGAGGTGTCAAACATCTCAGCTACTGTGCAGCAATACATAAAAGAAGAAAAGCAAAATAAACGCAACAGTTGCATGCCAGCTGAGCTACCAGCAACGGATGGGCATCCTTCCCGAAAGCTGCCAGCGGGCAACCAGACAAAAGAAAGATTATTATGTAAAATTATATTTGCTACGGAATGAGATCTTGGTTGGTGGATGAGGCTAAAAAGTGGGGAAGGACGAAGAGACAGCAAGAACACCACTGAGATCGGCTCCCAGCCATGCCAGCAAGTGTATTCAGCCAAACGTGTCATCATCTTTCTGACCCCAACCAGGGAGCCGAGACGCTCCAACCGAGGCCAGCTCAGAAGTGAGGCCTTCATTCCTCTGGACCAAGTCATCGCTTGACCACCTCTCCTCTTCTTCCGTCCACATCCCCGGCGCGCAAAGAATGCACGTCACACGAGTCGGTGGGCTGGCATGCGCAACACCTGGCCCAGCCATCGGAGTCTGGTGTGGGAAATAACGGTGCTGAGCGGTTCGTTTTCTTTTCCTGGGCAGTAAACAAGGCGTCGAACACGCTCGTTGCTCAAGCGGCGTTCCCACCAGATGTGGGTCAAACTGCGAAGGCACCGATGATCGAACGTAACTAGCCTATTCATGTCCGCCGATCTTAGGGGCCAGGTTTCGCAACCGTACAGTAAGGTTGCATATACCCCTGCATTGTACACTCTACCCTTCAGGGCGAGAGTGATGTCGCGCCGGCGACATAGGTGGCGAAGGCTAGCAAAAGTACTTCGAGCTTTTGGTATACAGTTTGTGTTCACATCTTCGATCCCAAGGGCGCTGATACACCTTTCAGGTAGTTGAATTTCCAAACGACTTCTAGCTAATCCCCACAAAGGGTCAACGCAGGAGGCGATCCCTGACAATCTTGGAGGAAAGCTTTGCACCTCGATGGTGCAAAGCAAAACCCGAAACGGCTTACAGCCAGTGCTTATCTGTCCAGTGCAGCTGGGCACCTATGGGAGCTGTCACAGATGAGGGCAATGTCGTCTGCATATTCCAAATAAAGAAATCGTTCTCCTGAGATTAGCTCCACACCTTCTAAATCGCATTCTGCGAATGAAATCTCCATGACTACGTCAATAGCGATGTTGAAGAAGAAAGGTGACAGCTGGCAACCTTGTCTCACACCGCTGGAGATATTGAAGGGTGGCGGAAGCTTGCCGTGAGCCTTCACTCTGCCTGAGCTACGCGCGTACAATCCTCTGATAATATTTACATATTTCATGGGCACACCTTTCCTGAGTAGACAATTCCAAAGGGCACATCGATCAACCGAATAGAAGGCACCTTTGATGTCGAGGAACACGACTGCGGTGGGCCACCAATATGTGTGACGGTGCTCCAACAACTGACGCAAGGTGAAGATGTGGTCGATGCAGCCACGACCCCTACGAAACCCAGCTTGCTCCTCACGAATCTGGCTTTCACGAGCGCCAGTCAGTCTGTGAATGATTATGGAGACGATGGAGATCAGACTGATTCCTCTATGGTTGCCGCCTTCCGAATGCGAGCCTCCTTTGAAGATATGAACAATAACGGAGCGGCTTTAGTCGGTTGGCACAGCCTACCGCTCCCACTGTTTCACTAGTAATCCACGTAAAGCATCAACAAGAACAGAGCCTCCGAATTTGAAGAGGGCTGGAGGAAGATCATCTGGTCCCGCGACTTTATTTAACTTCAACAGTTTGATCTCACGTTCGACTTCTCAGCGAGAGGGTGGATCCAAAGGGACATCCCACGGAGCAAGGCGATCACTGGCCGGCGAAGAATCGAACAATTCTAGCCGATTAAATTGCTTTTCAAAATGCCCAGCCCAACGCTCCAAACGTTTTGACAAATTGTGGATAGGCTGTCCACTCTCGTCACGTATGGTTTCACTAACACCAGGTTTCTTGTTGCCCGTTTCCAGTATCAGATGGAATAACTTACCATGGTTGCCAAGGGCGGCGGCCAAATTCCATCTCTGACGCACGATGAGATCAGCAGGACTAGCGGTCTCTCTTCAGGCTAGCACGGAGTCTCGCCCGGAGCTCTGTGAGTTTTATTGTGTTCGCTTCCAGCCGGAATATACCGGCGAGCGACCATAAGTTTCAGAGACCGCGAAGAGACCCAATATCCATGTTGGCTATTAGACTTACCACACGGGGAGTTGCCTGTTGCTAGTAAGGTCTGAAGAACATGTGACCAGTGACCATCAATTGTCTCCAGTGAGCGCTTATTCAACCCGCATGTCAGCGTACTTCTACGCATTCAGAACAGTTGGCTTTGTCAGTTGGGTGGTGTCGATGCGCACACAGCGTCGTCGTGGGCGTCCGCCAAAACGCTGCTACATCTCAGCACATACAAGTGCACGATCGGTGTCCACACATGTGCTCCAAATCGAGCGACAGTTCTGGATGCAGCCTCTCCAGCGGTAACTGATAGCAATGCGATCGATCTGCGTCCAAGGCTGGTGGACGCCAAGTCATCCTCCGGTGGGTACTGTGTCGGAAGTTAGTGCTCGCAAGAAATAAGCAGGCATCTTCACACAAATGAAGTAACCGCTCACTATTATCATTAAGGGAGCTTACATCGTGCTGACCGCCCAGATACATTCCATCAGTGGACAACTTTACAACTTGCGCGTTCAGATACGCCGCCAGAACAACAGTGTCCGTGCTTCTTCTGTGGTGAAGGAGTTAGGTCAGTTGGCGGTAGAAGTCGTTCTTTACCGAATCATCGCTACAGTTTGGGGGCGCGTAGGTAGCGATGATGAATAGACACCTATTAGTCCCGCGCGACTTCGAAGCTTTAAACGAGCCAGCCAATCGGACCGTACACATCCGGCTACTGATTGGAATCCAGTCAAACAGAGCAGCTTCAGCCCGGGGACGCAGGGCAATGCCAACACCAGCTTGGCCGGTGCTCGAAGCTGCATCGTCACCGGATAGGCGCAATGAGAAAATATTGCTTGCGTTACCTGAAGGGGATTGCAGGGTGAGCACAGAGCTCGTGTCTTGCAGGCGGGTCTCTGATAAGCAGCAGATATCGATCGAGAGGGTCTCTAATGTTCGGACAAATGCTGCCTGTTGACCGATCTGTAATGTGCGTACATTGAGGATTGCCAATCTGAAGGAGGATTGAGGGCTCCAAATGGAAGTCGATGAACCGAAATGGACGGCTTGGTTGGACATGGGCTTGTTGACAGGACAGGATGGACGCTCCGCGTTTAGATGTGATTTGAAATTAGAAGACAAATGCCTAGCAAAGCATGTTGAGGGAGGGCCAAGAATCGGGGGGTTGAAAACTGGGGAGGGGGTATAAGTAAAGTTGGAACGGGACGGTAAGAGTGAAAAAGCGTAAGAGGGGGAATAAGAAGACGGGAAGGCTTGAGCAGTAGCATCCAAACCCTATCCACCTCGCTCAATGGAGCAGATAGGGCACCGTTGACTATCCTTTGCGGTGGCCAGAGCAACAAGAAATTGTTTGACGGGAGGCACTCTTGGGAATTTGGACTATAACGGAGCAGCTCCAGTCTGTTGGGACAGATTCCTGCTCCCATAAATTCGCTAATAAGTTAAGTCATCCGAAAGAGCAGATCCCATGAATTTGTAGAGGGCTGGATGAAGTACACCTGCTCCAGCGGCCTTGTTCAATTTTAGCCCTGAGCTTATGTTCGATTTTTGAGCGTGAGA